AACCTAAGGTGGGAGAAGACTTACCAATAGAATGACTTTCCAAATTACAATAAAATGGTTCGGCGTTTGGCCACCATCTCGCCTGGTGGTAAGCGATGATGCAGTTTACGATGGAGCACGCCTGACAAGACAATTGTGGGAGAGTCATGCTTCGGCACGAAAGGCCGGCTTGACCGGGGTGATACCACAGCCTCACAAAAAACCCGCGTGAAATAACAAGGTCCCTCCTCTCTCCAATTTACGCAATTCCCGAATCTCGAACAATCCTTTAGTTACTAATACACAAAGGGGCCAGCGACGCACTTGTAACACTTCCAGTGTTGCAGGTGTCCATGGGCAGCGCCCATTACTGACCATCAGGTGATCCGTCTGCTCGTTTGCGAAAGTAATAAAGATTAAACTACTTGGTTAAGAACTATTTTACTGTTATTCCATAACAATGATATATTTTCCGTTTATTTTCATCTTCATTTTTGACTGAATTGTTGGCCGAGTGGTCGTAAGTGCGACAGCCGGGCAAGGGGTCTCGGGTTCGATTCCCGGGTCGGGCAAAGTATTACTGGGTTTAAAAAAATTCTCAGTAGTAGCACGGAGTCTGGAACTGTGCCCGGTATATGGCAATAGGCTCACCCCCTATTACATGGGACTCATAACATAAATAGTGAAAAGTGGGTGTTACATTGTACAGTGATAAAATGTGCACCTCTGCCTACCCCTTCGAGGATAAAAGGCGAGATGTTATGTTATGTTTCATTTTTAATATATTTTTATTATAGGAGTAACGGTGACCGATGTATGTGGTAGGTTTGCCTTGAACAGTTTTCTTTTAGCAATCAAACACAGAACTTTGAAAATAGGCAAACACATTCTTTTGATACAACGACTCAGGCACCTGGCTACTATACGTTATATTCAGAACATTAACACATTGACACGAAGGACATTTGTCATTTTCTTAAGTCTGGTAACGTGGTAACCAATTACACACGCACACATAAAAAAGCCACCGATATTTCGGTTCTTCAATCATTTGTATGTTACATTGTATTCACTTTTTTAATGTCCTTGGCCTTAATGAATGCTTTTAAGGATAAATATATGTATCTTGTTTCATTTTTGCTAACATATAATTAAACAACCGAATGTGCAGACGGCCGAGGGGATTACAAGGCATGCGGGACGGGGCAGGTCGCGGGAATCCCCTACAAATATAATTAGTCAACGCTTGATAATTCTAAACTCCTAAAATATTTCAAATTACCGAGTGTTTCAAGGATGAAATGGCCTGAAATGCAGGTGCCGGCTGCAATTCCTTAATCTCTTTCCTTCTGCAGCTTGGATTATGAAGTATTTAAGAGATAAATTCGAAATAACAAGTAATTTTGTTCGAAGCAATGACGTCGTAACATTCTAATTACTAAGTGTACAAAAATGTAGGTACTCATTCAGTTACTAATCGAGATTAATATCAAGGGAATCGTGATAATTTTAAATTATCGAGATTCCAATTATCAGCGGTTGACACAAAATTGACGAGAGTGGACTGCAAATTTAACAAGAAACCAGATAGAATCGATAAAAACAATTTATTTTAAACCCATCTACACCAGATTAGATTATACAAATCTATATATATGGGTAGTTAATTACTTTAACTGGTACATAGTATTTAAGATACTGTAGTGAATGAATATCGTAAAACAAAATGTGTAAATTATTTTTGTGTCTTGTGATCGCTGTTTGTAGTGAGTAACATCTTTTTATTGCATATAATTATCCTTAATTGTTCCATAAATATCATAGTTGCTTTTTCTATCTATTCCTAAATAATTTTACTTAGACGTCTAAAACTACGTTGCAGGTTTTGCGTGATCCATTTATTTATTTTTTAAATTAACCAACAGTTATTTACACTTATAATTATAGTTATATGTATATATATACTAGCTTTTGCCCGCGACTTCGTACGCGCAATCCCGTTTTCTCACGTTCCCGTTCGCGTTCGTTATAAGAACCTTCTCCTGACAATAACAAACACAACAAAAAAAAATCAGCCAAATCGGTCCAGCTGTTCTCAAGTCATGGCGTGACAACGGGAAACGGGTTTCATTTCTATATATAAGCTTCTGCCCGCGACTTCGTACACACAATCCTGTTTTCTCCCGTTCCCGTAGGATTTTCAGGATTTTTTCTGTCGTAAAAACCTTCTCCTGACTATAATGAACACAACAAAAGAAAGATCAGCCAAATCGATCAAGCCGTCCCCAAGTTATGGCGTGACAACGGGAAACGGGTTTCATTTTTATATATATAGAAGAAGAAGATAGAAGATGATTATAACAACTATATACTGGCTAACATACCTAATACGCTCATAAAAACGGATAGAATACATATAAAAAAATATAAAATTTTAAACAAGATTAAGTAACATGATATAAAAATTGCGATATATAAATTAAACAGAAATTTAAATTATATTAGAAATGAAATGGAACTACGGTATAGAAATGACTCAACGCAAATGGCATTGGATAAAGTTTACTGATGACTTCATCCATAAATTGTCATTCAGGGCGTGGCACAAGAATAATGAAATAATTGTGTTCGTAACTAAATGCATTCATGACATAAGTTATAAAAATATAAGGTGCGGAGGGAGTCACAAAAATTAAGGTTGAATTTTCTATACATACGATTCGAAGTGTTTAAACTAGGGCCAAATTAGATTAATTAGTGCTAAGGATAAAGAGGAATGGACATTCCCTGAGAATAGGCTTCGTACTCAGCGCGCCAACAACACCTATGGCTAACGAACTACCGCTTATATTGTACCTAGTATTATTAATAGCTTACCCTCAGAAATAAAATATAATATTGCGCTAAAGAACATGAAATGTAAACTAAAGCAATATTACATAAGTATTATTTAGGAATGTGTTTGTTTATGTAAAGACCGTTTATCCTAAGTTGTTTATATTGTTAGCGACATTAAAGTATATTTATAAAAACGCATTAAAAAAAATGTTTTTGAGATTGATTCATGATAGCACAAGTTTAAACCTTAGTGGTTTTTGGATGCTATTTTAAATGGATCATCCTGTACTTATTGTAAATATGACAAAAGAAAAAAAAGCAGAGCCGTTTTATCCCTAATACAAACGCTATGTACGCTCGGGTCTGGTTTTGGTCGAGGGCGAGTTACCCATGGTCGCCGTTCGCAAGCCCGTGCTTGCTAAGGGTGCTCTCTAGATTTGATACACCTCATGAGAAAAAGCCTTCCTGTTTATGAGGAAAAACATGAATAATCTCACCTTATTACTAGAAAAAATGTGATGTGCTAATATCCCGATAAGCGGTTTTCTGAATAAAATTCTTTCGCGATAAGGATATCATACGTAATTACACATCGATAATACAACTTACCTAATAAATCTTGCAATAAGTTACGAAATACATCCTAATAATATAAATTTGAAAGTATGTGTCTCTTTGATTGTGTATCTTTCACGGTTCACGGCTAAATGCAGAGACGTGATTTTTTTAAGTTGAGATAGTTTGAGGGATGGATGTATATATACGGTAGTACATAGGCATTATAAATCTGCTCCCAAAATCTAAAAATCGCAAGTACAAATAAATGTTTAAACATCTTTTGTTTTTGCGATTCGACTAATCATTTTTATAGAATAAGCAGCAATATTTCAGATGACAGGTAGTGTCATAGAAACACTAAATATTTTCTATGGGTTATTATTTGTCATAAGGGTTATGTCAAATGTAATAAAATTGTAGAATTAAATAAATGAATCCATTAATTTAAAAACATAGTGTTTGACTTAATTTTTAAAATCGATATACCGTATACAGTACCATATTTCCCCACCTTTTTCAAATTATGTCCCGTATACCTACTTATCAGGAAATTGCATTTCATGCATTTCCAAATAAGTAGGTAGACAGTGACATTGGAAAGTGTGTAAAAGTGGACAGTCAAGTGGACAATTGAAAAACGTGAAATAAATTAAATTTAAAAAAAAATATCTGGATCACTATTTACTATATAACTATACCCTGTAAATTTTTGATATAGGTACTACGTAAGTATTATATAAGATATTAACAAATAATTAATAATAAAATATTTCTTTGTTCTCCAGGCGTCAAAGCGTACAAACTTGAAGGATATGGTAGGATTATAGGAGGATCATACAGAAATGACATCAATTATGTGGTTAGTATAATTATGGTTACCTACTGTATGGTATGCAATTTTAAGACGTAATATACTTTGGCTGTTAACTGCCTCGTTGGCCGAGTGGTCGGAAAGGTAACTGCCGGGCAAGGGTCGGCAAGTCGCATGTAATGCCCCAAGTGTTGCAGGCGTACATAGACCACGGTAACTGCTTACCATCAGGTGGGCCGTGTGCTTTTTTGCCACCGTCGTGGTATAAAAAAAGGAGTCTCGGGTTCAATTCCCGGGTCGGGCAAAGTATTATGTAAAGTAGCATGGAGTCTGATATTGTACCCAGTATATGGCAATAGGCTCACCCCCTATTACATGGGACTCATAACATAAATAGTGAAAAGTGGTTGTTACATTGTACAATGGCATAATGTACACCTCTGCCTACCCCTTCGAGGGTAAAAGGCGTGATGTTATGTTATGTTATATACTTTGGAATGATTATACGTTCGCAGAATAATATTACGCATAACAAGCTTACGCAAATTGTTTATGCATAATTTCTTTAATCATATTTATGATTAAATCAATGTTCTTAAGTATAAAATTAGTCATATTTATGATTAAGTCAGTGTTCATAAGTATAAAATCAGTCATATTTATGATTAAGTCAGTGTTCTTAAGTATAAAATTAGTCATAAAATTTTGAAGCCATTAGTAATGTTTGTTATGAACTGTTTTCAAGCAAGTATACACCATGATTGCTATTGTGTATGATTTTTTCTATAAATCTAATCAATTATATTGTTTCTAGATATCATTACAAGAGAAACAATCAACACAAACCTACGAAAGAGGTCACAAATGTGGAGGTGTATTAATTACTCGACAGAATGCATTGACAGCTGCTTCTTGCGTTCTCGATGACAATGGGTAAGTATTATTATGCAAACATAATTTATTTATTTTATTACTAGAAGCTTCTCCGGCTTCGCCCGAACACACAGTGAACCTCTATGTAAAGAATAAATCAGCACTGTGATCTACGAGAGACGTAGACTTGGTGTTTCGATATTTCTTTAAATAAATAATTTGCACTTGGAATCCAATTATGCTTAAGTCTAAAGATACATATATACAACTTATAAAATTTACTAGCTACTAGTACAGTCGTAACTAGTTCATTGGCTATGACAGAAGCTTTATTAATTAACTAACGATCATTGATACTTCTAAAGAAATTCTTTTTCCAGGGAACATTTTAAACTAAAAGAAATATTGTGAATGTTACAGACAACTGATCAACGCAACCAACTTCAGAGTTTTCGCTGGGACAGTTCTTACAAATGATAATGCAGATAACGTTCGCGACATAGCAAGTATAACTGTCCACCCGGAATATAATGGGCAGACTTTTGTCAACGACATTGCTGTTATTACTGTAAGGAATGATTTTATATTTTTTACAAGTTGTGTTTAAAAATATATGCTATGTAACTATAACGTCATTGTCACATTTCAGTTGCAAGCTGCTTTCTCGAACTCGACAAACCCCTTGCCAATGCCGATTGCTGAGTTATCTCATCCTTCCATGTGTGAGTCTTCCGGTTTTGGAGGTCGTAATGCAACATCTATTGTAAGTTTCATAACAATACTGTTAATCCTAAATTGTATTATCTTATTTAACACAAAAAGATCTTAATAAACTGAAATAGTATTCAGATGTATTTCTTTTGCTGTAACATTAAAAGTAATTAGAAACATTTTGATTTACTTTTTCTTATTATTTTAGGCAAGTGCACAATTGATAACCTTATCATCTATAGCCACGTTGTCAAATGAAGCTTGCAACCCATTAATGCCACAGATGATAATTGTACCAAGCATGGTTTGCGGGACTTCGGCTGGTAGTGGATGCGAGGTAAGATGAGTTTTTCTTGAATTATAATCATTTTACATGGTCAAAAATGTAAAATCGCAAATTGATGACGTATGAGATCTGTGCTAACCGACACAATATACGACCCGATACGAATTTAGTCGGTCCAACATCAAAACTGACTATGACCTGCAAATTATTTTGAGTAAGGGAGCAGTCGATTAATTACTAAACAGTTTTATTTACCTTGCTGCGTATATTTTTTTGTATCAATAAATTTTAATATTTAAATTTAATTCAAATGTTTTATGCGGTTATTTTGTGTAATGGTCATTGGAATAGCTGGCGATCAATGGCTAACTGCATCTCTTTTTTTGCAGGGTGATATAGGAAACCCATTAGTGTGCAACCCACAGAGCACTCCGGTTCTTGCGGGTTTACTCAGTAGGAGCAACAACTGTGGGTTTGATGATACCACCCCCGAAGTGTACACTCAAGTTTTCTCATTCACAACATGGATAAATGAAGTTATCTCTCCTATGACCACTAGTACATCTGCTCCTACTTCATCCTCTACCACAACCACTACTACGCCTGCTCCTACTTCATCCTCTACCACAACCACAACTACGCCTGCTCCTACTTCATCCTCTACCACAACCACTACTACGTCTGCTCCTACTTCATCCTCTACTGCAACCAGTAGTACGCCCGATCCTACATCCAATACTACTCTAGCTCCTACTTCATCCTCTTCCACAACCACAACTACACCTGCTTCTACTTCATCCTCTACCACAACCACTACTACGCCTGCTTCTACTTCATCTTCTACCACAACCACTACTACGCCTGCTTCTACTTCATCCACTACCACAACCACTACTACGCCTGCTTCTACTTCATCCTCTACCACAACCACTACTACGCCTGCTCCTAGTACATCCTCTACCACAACCACTACCACAACCACAACTACGCCTGCTTCTACTTCATCCTCTACCACAACCACTACTACGCCTGAACCTACATCCAATACTACGCTAGCTCCTACTTCATCCTCTACCACAACCACTACTACGCCTGCTTCTACTTCATCCTCTACCACAACCACTACTACGCCTGAACCTACATCCAATACTACGCTAGCTCCTACTTCATCCTCTACCACAACCACTACTACGCCTGCTTCTACTTCATCCTCTACCACAACCACTACTACGCCTGCTCCTAGTACATCCTCTACCACAACCACTACCACAACCACTACTACGCCTGAACCTATTATTACCTCTAGTACAACCACTACTTCACCCGAACCTACATCCAATACTACGCTAGCTCCTACTTCATCCTCTACCACAACCACTACTACGCCTGCTTCTACTTCATCCTCTACCACAACCACTACTACGCCTGCTCCTAGTACATCCTCTACCACAACCACTACCACAACCACTACTACGCCTGCTTCTACTTCATCCTCTACCACAACCACTACTACGCCTGAACCTACATCCAATACTACGCTAGCTCCTACTTCATCCTCTACCACAACCACTACTACGCCTGCTTCTACTTCATCCTCTACCACAACCACTACTACGCCTGCTTCTACTTCATCCTCTACCACAACCACTACTACGCCTGCTTCTACTTCATCCACTACCACAACCACTACTACGCCTGCTTCTACTTCATCCTCTACCACAACCACTACTACGCCTGCTCCTAGTACATCCTCTACCACAACCACTACCACAACCACTACTACGCCTGCTTCTACTTCATCCTCTACCACAACCACTACTACGCCTGAACCTACATCCAATACTACGCTAGCTCCTACTTCATCCTCTACCACAACAACTACTACGCCTGCTTCTACTTCATCCTCTACCACAACCACTACTACGCCTGCTTCTACTTCATCCTCTACCACAACCACTACTACGCCTGCTTCTACTTCATCCTCTACCACAACCACTACTACGCCTGCTCCTAGTACATCCTCTACCACAACCACTTCCACAACCACTACTACGCCTGCTTCTACTTCATCCTCTACCACAACCACTACTACGCCTGAACCTACATCCAATACTACGCTAGCTCCTACTTCATCCTCTACCACAACAACTACTACGCCTGCTTCTACTTCATCCTCTACCACAACCACTACTACGCCTGCTTCTACTTCATCCTCTACCACAACCACTACTACGCCTGCTCCTACTTCATCCTCTACCACAACCACTACTACGCCTGCTTCTACTTCATCCTCTACCACAACCACTACTACGCCTGAACCTACATCCAATACTACGCTAGCTCCTACTTCATCCACTACCACAACCACTACTACGCCTGCTTCTACTTCATCCTCTACCACAACCACTACTACGCCTGCTCCTACTACATCCTCTACCACAACCACTACTACGCCTGAACCTACATCCAATACTACGCTAGCTCCTACTTCATCCTCTACCACAACCACTACTACGCCTGCTTCTACTTCATCCTCTACCACAACCACTACTACGCCTGAACCTACATCCAATACTACGCTAGCTCCTACTTCATCCTCTACCACAACCACTACTACGCCTGCTTCTACTTCATCCTCTACCACAACCACTACTACGCCTGCTTCTACTTCATCCTCTACCACAACCACTACTACGTCTGCTCCTAGTACATCCTCTACCACAACCACTACTACGTCTGCTCCTAGTACATCCTCTACCACAACCACTACTACGTCTGCTCCTACTTCATCGTCTACTGCAACCAGTAGTACGCCCGATCCTACATCCAATACTACTCTAGCTCCTAGTACACCCGCTCCTACTACAACCGATCTTACTACAGTCGATCCTACTATAACAGATCCTACTACAACCGATGCTACCACACCTTACCCGGGATCGGCATCGACATCACAACTCGGAACTACGGTAGCACTTATATTTGTGGTTATCCAATGCTTCATAATCATTAACTGAGTTAAAACCAAATATTATAATTATTTATTTCTTGTTATATTAGGAATGTTTGTCCATTCTACTATAGGGCAAAACTGTGGTTCAATTTCCGTCTGGTAAATTATTATTTTTTTATTATAAACGTGTTTTTGTTTTCTCGCGACATCAAAATTGTCTACCGTAATATTGTATTGATTGAAAACATCGTGTGACGTCACGATTTAGTACATTTCTCTGAGAAGAGGCGCAGCAAACTACTTTTATATTTTTACTCGTTACAACGAGATAAATCTCATAATTGTAAAATGAATAAAATATTTCTATAACATTTTTACCTTATCTAAGTAGCTGACGGACTGAATAGATTTATAATCTGTTATAATCCCAGCAGCAGTAGCCAAATGCCATTTAGCGCTTGTCTACATGTAGAATAAAAAACCAAATTGTATGGAATTGACGTAAATTTTGACACTTATCAGTGTCATCCCCATACATTTAGTTCTCTACTCTCTCTCTGTAGACAAGCGCTAAAGTGGCGTTTGGCTAAAGGCACTGTTTTGTTACATGTCGCGCTAAAGTAGTTTTTAAGACATAGATAAAAAACATAAGGTTTTTTGTGCCATTGTATTTGTACTACTTAGGCATCGTCCATACCAAATGCATTGTCAGTCGCTGACTGTTAGCGCCCGATGCGTAGTTTAACGGTTTTTCATAGTTATTGAATTGTATGTCTAATTCACATCAAACCAATTATATGCTGTTACGTAGTGCATTGTAGACAGTGAGTACCCTCACTGTCGGTCGCGGAGAATCTAACGGGTTACCGGGGTCCGGCTCGACGTGTAGGAGAAGGAACGGGGTGGTTTTTAGTCAGTAAGAGTCTGACACTCCCTCCCGTGTCACGCAGGTGGGAGAAGTCATTCAATGATTTTCCCCACTTAAAAAAAAAACCCCTCACCGTCGGCGGCGGACAATATGTTTGTTGTAAAAGATGCCTTATACCATGTGAAATAAATAACTATATCGATATTGTTGAACATATTATATTGATGAAATATAATATTTGTTATCAAGAATATGAAGACGAGACGTAATGTAATTAGTAAATTATTAAACTTGCCATAAAAGTATTAGCAATGTGTACATAATAATAATTATTATAATAAGTTAATGTTTGTATAATTTATGACCTATATTTAAAAAAGGAAAGAATATAAAGTGATGTTATTTTAAAGATTTATTGATTTCTATTGCTTAACTAATCCCTAATCCATACTCCGATTTCCAATCCACACTACAAATCTTTACTAACAATCAGGGGTTGTTCACGTGAAAAGCTCTACTAGTTTCGAGCCACAGAAGGACTTATCCTCATGAGTAGCAAGCGTGGTCATTTTAACCCGGGAAGTAACCCGTGATTTTGAGATTATTGAATATGTATTACGATACGTACTTATTATAAAAATACTACTTTAGGAACAGAGAGTATAGTTCCCTAAGATCGGAAAAGGAGGATCCTCCGACCAGGCGAGGTGATCGTGCCTGGCGGGCTTTCTGTCCAACAGTTGTTCGTTGGGATTTTCTATCGTGTTAATTTGCATGTAAACTTTGCATGTGTTTTTTTTTTTTTCTTTGGCAACTGAGTCTCCAAAACGGAGTTGTCGACTATACTGCCAGTGTCGAGTGGTGACGGCAAAATTAATGAACCGTCGAACTTAACTTTGCGGTAGTTTTTAGTGGTTAGTAGCTGAAATGACAAAACAATCGGGTTAGTAAACATAGACATTATCAACTATTTTATTGTATATATACAGTGGTGTAAAAAATAGTTGAGGGACATACACAACACAGACAGATATAAATATATGTGTACATCATTTACAACATTGAACATGTGTTATGTAGGATTTTTGTGACGTCATCCGTTGACATGTACCATGTGTCGCCACACTACTAATCTTGATTATTAATAGTTAGTTAGTTTTAAGTTTTTTATTTGAATAAAAGCATATTTTGTTAGCATAGATAATATTTTCACAGAGATACTAACTAACTAAATTATAGCTTTATTATTTGAGTACCGTCATTATAGACACAATTAAAGAACAATAAGTTGCGGTAACCGGTGTCCTCGCGGTGTTTGACAGTTTAAGGTGTAAATATTTTAGTGCATAGTTATTTATATTTTCATTTAGTAATTAATATTCATTTTATTTATGTCTAGATTATAGTATTGTTTTACTAACTAAATAAACTAACTAATCTTGATATTTGTATCAAAATCCATAAGAAAATCAAAGTAAAAACACTCCAGCATAGGTTTGAAGTCACGTAACAGTGCAGCTTTACAAAATTGAATTCCTTTCAACACCACACATGAAACTTACAAGAGATTTTTCAGCGCAGTACACTGGCGGACGAATATATATACACTTGCTTAAAAGCGATACATTTTTGAACTGACATAATAACATAACATCACGCCTTTTAACCCCGAAGGGGCAGGCAGAGGTGCACATTACAACATTTAATGCCACTGTACAATGTAACACCGACTTTCATTATTTATGTTATGAGTCCCATGTAATAGAGGGTGTGTCTATTGCCATATACCGGGCACAGTTCCAGACTCCGTGCTACTACTGAGATTTTTTCTAAAACCCGATAATACTTTGCTCGACCCGGGATTCGAACCCGAGTCCCCTTGCCCGGCAGTCGCACTTGCTACCACTCGGCCAACGAGGCAGTTTTGAAGTAACTTAGTTCTTTTTTGCTTTGACAGCATGGAGTGGTCGTTAGAAGTGTGATTAAGGAATACATACATACATAACTCCACGCCTGTCTCCCATGGGGGTAAGCAGAGACTGTGGAACGCTAATTGCTACGATTCCTACATGCCTCTTTCGATCCATCAACAGTCAATATTAAGAAATGTCGGGGTATAAGGGATTAATTGATTCATGGATCGAATTAATAACCAAAGTACGTAATTATAAAAATTTTATTTCGTTTAAAAAGTCAGATTACAAAATAAATTTAAATATTTCCTGAACAAAGTTTAAATTTATATAAAACCTGAACAAGTTGGTACAAGCTTGTATTTTAGTTTAAAATTTTGCTGACATATAGGTATAAAGTACAAGCTTATAAAACTAAAAATATATGGCTAAATTAAATTAAGTTAGTATCTAAGTATAGCAGGTGCGCGTGTATAGTTTCAAAAACAAACGTAAGCAAAAATAACTAATAAAATAATTATTCACCTACTTCAATTGTAGTCTTAGTAGTCGGTTTGGTCGTATGTTAAGGTGTGTACATAATTGCTACGTTGTCGTATGTTAATTAAGATTGAGTAAACCATGATTTTTAGTGGGGTATGGTGGCAAACTAACACATGAATCACCTGGTGGTAAGCAGTCGATACCGCCGGTAACATTCAAGGAGCTATAAACGTAAGTTGCCGGCCTTTTGGCAATTAAATAGATTAAATTAGCAAAAAAATATCTCCAAGATTGGACCATAAATATCTCTATAATATATTAGAATTGAATTATCTAGAAAAAGTGAGTCTGGAGGCATGGGTGAGCTCCCAGCCAAGTCGTTGAAGCTCAAGTGCACTGCCACCTAGCTGTTCTGTAAAGATTTTGGACTTTTAACCTAAGAAGAACTCCTTGATTTAAGTATAGTATTTTAAAATTGAAATTTATAGCAAACTATTGGCTTTACATGAACTCTTTTTTTTATGGCATAAGCCGGTAAACGAGCGGACGGATCACCTGATGGTAAGCAATCGGCGTCGCCCATGGACACTCGAAACACCAAGGCGTTACAAGTGCGTCATCGGCCTTTTGGGAATTGGGAATTTGAGGATTGTGGAGGATTCGGGGATTCGGGAGACGGGGACTAGGGAGGGGGTATTGGGCCTCCGCGTTGTTTCACGTCGGTTTGAAATCTATAAACTTTGCCAGTACAAGCTATACAGACTAGGTATGTCTTGGCAACATTTTACAAGAATATGTTTCACTCAAATCTATTATTTGCTAGTAACTATAAATTTATATGGCTCAATAAATATTTGTAGAGACGCTTTAATGATTAGTTCTACGAAATAAATATAAGAATAGGCAATAAATAAATAGAATAAATTGTGTCTGACTGTCCTCTTATTTGCTTTTTATATAGAAGTGAGTTTTTCTGATTATTTATTTGTTATGAAACAAATGAAAAACGTATTCTTTCCTAAATTAAATTGGGCGGTACTCGTATGTCTTTATGAGTTAGGGCTCGTACACAAAACTGCGATGCGATGCCAATTCGCAACGCAAAAAATTACGGTGCGAATTGCTGCGATGGTCTCCCAGGGTGACCATTCCTTCGATGACCGTCAACCGTACTAAACGTATAAGATTTTGATGCGCGATGCGAATTAATTCTCAAGTTCTTGCGATGCGTAGAGCTCGCACATTTTTGCGATGCGACGTCGCATCACAGTTTTGTGTACGAGCCCTTACTATTGTAACTAACATATTAATTGTTTTATTAAAAATAAAAAAATAAAAAATTGTAATTGTAATACTAGCGTTTTGTGTTTTTTTTAAATCAAATATCTGAACAGTAATTTACAACTGTACTATTCTTTATGAAAGTATGTATGAAGCAGATATAATCCATTTTATTTCAAGTCCATTTTTACTTTTGATATCATTACATATCTTAATCTATTGTATTTGCCAAAGATTAAGATTTCGCATTTCGGTGCGGTTTCATAGGACGTCACTACAATAAAACATCATGAGGAAATCTGTATTACAATTTATTTCGTGGATAACGCGATATGATACTTAGCGCCGATTACGCCGCCATCAAATAAATCCTCTATCGGGGATTAACTTATGTGGCAGATAATTCATACAAATAACGTTCTACATTCAAGAAAATAAGAATGAATTTCCGTTTATCAGTGTCGCTAAAACTCGAGAACGACTGAACCGATTTGGCTAATTTCGGTATTGAAATTTTCG